CAACATAAATGAGTTACCACATAGGACTACAGGTAATGTTCAGTGGGGGCAAAGAGAAAGGAGCAATTGAGTTTTCATCTGAGGTCCAAAGTCCCTAGAGCGGGTGGTATTTGCCTGGGCCTGGCCAGTTGATGTACGAGCGGGGGTGAGTGGAAGGAGCCTTTCCTCCCTCCTGTGTAATGCTCTGCCGCATCCATCTGTGTACCTAGAGGTCAGTTTTCTTTCCAGGGTCCCGTCCCGTCAAAGTCCTTAGTGTCTAGAAAGGTGGTTTCTAAGCACCTGTGTGAACAGTGCTAGTCCAAAGGTCAGTTTCCACTGGCTCACAGCAAAGTGAGACAAATAAGGACAAGTTGAGAATTTTTCGTAAGCAAATCACATTCAGTTTAAAGGACTCTCTTTTATTATGATGTTAGGTCCTTTCTAATTGTTTGGTGGTAAAATTGCCCTGTCTTTTAACGAAACGATATTGATAGCAACCAGTTGCCTTTGAGTGGTCAATTCCAACTCATGGCGACCCCATGTGTGTCAGAGTAGAACTGTGCTCCATGGGGTTTTCAATGGCTGATTTTCTGGAAGTAGATTGTCAGGGCTTTCTTCCAAGGTGCCTCTGGGTAGACTGGACCTCTAATCTTTCGGTTAGCAGCTGAGTGTGTTAACCATTTGCACCACCCAGGGATTCCAATGTTGATAGTAGGTTGTGTATTTTGGGATTTTTTTTGTTTTGTTTTGTTTTGTTTTCAATGCTTTTTCTTGGTCAGTTAATAGTTGGCCAACTGCACTGGTCCCTGAGACTTTACTGATCTCAAACCATTTCAGAGTCTAAGAACTATTGGCCTAGTATGCCATGCAGTGCCCACTAAGGTGGGCATATTACGTGAAGGTTCTGCCTTCCTTCTCCAGCTCCTTCCTCTCAAGGTCTTTGAATGTTCCTCCCACTGGTTTGACTTGGGTTTTGATAAGTGTATCCACCATCCTCCACCAAAACTCTTGCCTTTTGCCCTTTTCGGTGCTGAGGTGTGGAGCTGTTCTCTGCTCATGTCTTCTGAGTGGGGATGTGATAAACGAAGTCAGATGAAGGCAACGAGTGACACCAGATTAATATAGTCTCCACAGGGGCCTTTGCATTTTAATGGAGTACTAAAACTTAATTCAAACCAATGAACTGTAATGGTGGAACTTCAAACCTTTCCACACAGGTCATTGGGAAAAAATGATAATTTTGAGCAAGGGAACTTCCTCTGAAATCAGACCACACCCTTCAAATTATTGACACAAAGGGTAATAGTTGATTTTATCTTTTGGATCAGAATGTTGCACTCCACTGTGAAAAGAAATCCTGACCCTCTCTTTCTCTGGCCTTCCACTACCGTGGGCTGCAGAGCAACCTGAACATCTTTTGTAGAGGACAAGCCACAATGTGTTTGGTCAGTTTTCCGCGCATCCACCTGCCTCTCATGGAAATGGATGGTCCTGCTCACCTCTACATTCTCGGGGCCTGGGGTGGGCCTGGCACATAGTAGGATGGAAATGGACGGTGGATAAGTGAGTGACTGAATAACCAAAAAAACAAAAACAAAAAATTAAACCTGTGCCCTTGAGTCAATTCTGACTCTTGGTGACTCCATGAGTTACAGAGTAGAACTGCTCCATAGCGCTTTCTTGGCTATAATCTTTACAGAAGCAGATTGCCAGGCCTTTCTTCCATGGCATGGCTGGGTGGGTTTGAACCGCCGATCTTTGGATTAGGAGTTGAGTGCAAACCATTGAGCCACCCAGGAGCCTTATGAGCAACTGGATATACCAGGTAAAATAGCCCAGTTGCCTATGGGGTACCTCCACATTGACTATACTTTGGTAAACTCAAACCTGTAAATCTCACACAACTTCGAAAACTCTAATTCCATGAATCCTGATTACAAACAACCAAAGGCAACCATCTGGATCCCTGCAGACCCACTGAGAATCTGTGTGCAATGAGGGAGGAGAGAAACCCCAGAGAAAGACCCAGAAGCAGGTGGAAACTGCAGAAATATTGTGAAGGCTTTTGAAATCCCATTCTCCTGAACTGGCCAACAATTTTCCTTCCACATACTCTAAAAAGTAGTCTCCTTTGACCTGACAGGAGATACATGAACATTATCTGGGACAATACCACCATATCTTTTGTCTCCTCGGACACGTGATAGAATAAGTGGTTTTCCACATCACAAGGGAGAATTTTGTTTTAAGTGCTTTGTTTCTGTGGAAGTGGAAGAGAGGTAGTGGGGAGATCTGTCAAACCAAGAAACCTCAAAACGCTTTAATGTCGAAGCAGCCGGATGAGAGAGGAACGTTTTCCTGTGGCCAATGGTTCTCGAAGTGGGGTCTCTGACCAGCAGTATCAGCATCACCTGGGAATCTACTAGCAGTAAATCTATTTCCATGGAATAGACCCAGACTCATGGCGACCCCATATGTGTCAGAGTAGAACTGTGCTCCATAGGGTTTTCAGTGGCTGAATTTTCAGAAGTAGATTGTCAGTCCTTTTTTCCTAGGTGCCTCTGGGTGAACTCAAACCTTCAACCTTTGGATTAGCAGCTGAGTGTGTTAACTGTTCACACCACCCAGGGACTCCAGGAACCTGTTAGAAAGGCAAATTCTCAAGTCTCACCCCAAACCAAACCAGTTGTCCTGGAGTCCATGCCATCTCATGGCAACCCCATGTGCTTCAGAGTATAACGGCACTCCTGAGGATTTTTATATCTGTAACCTTTTATGAGGATAGCACAGGACCGGGTAGTGTTTTGTTCCGTTGCACACAGGGTCACTATGAGTCAGAACTGCCTTGATGGCACCTAACAACAACAACTACCTTTTGGAAAGAGCCCTGGTAGTACAGTAGTTAGGAGCTTGGCTGCTAACCAAAAGGTCAGTAGTTTGAATCCACCAGCCACTCCTTGGAAACCCTATGGGGCAGTTCTACTCTGTCCTATAGGGTCTCTATGAATCAGAATCTACTCAACAGCAATGGGTTTGGGGTTTTTTTTGGTAAACTTTTGGAAGCAGATTGCCAGGCCTTTCTTCCAAGGCACCTCTGAGTGGATTTCAACACCCAACCGTTTGGTTAGCAGCCGAGTGCTTAACCATTTGCACCACCCACGACTCCAAGCCTCACCCAGGACCCACTGAATCAGAAATTCTGGGATTGAGGCCCAGCAATCTGTGTTTAACCAGCCCTCTAGGTGATGCTGGTGGGCGCTCAAGTGTGAGAACCATCTGTATAAGGTATCGTCTGGCAGTGAGTAAATCGGGGGCCAGGGCCTGACATAGGGCACAGCCATTAGATGACCTATAAAAAAGTAAGGGGTGACTCAGCCAGGGAGCAGGCATGCCCGGTGTGGCCAGACCTGTCCCGAAATCCTGAGGGCATGTGGGAGCGCAAGGGATCCCGAAGCCGGTCTAACCAACCCTGCCTTCCATCTTGTCTCTCCCTGACTCCTGTTGTGACTTGACCTACGTTGGTGGCACCTCCACAGGGAAACGGCTGTGTCCTCTCGGACTCCCAATCTATTATTAGTTCCAATCCGCACAAATCCACCAGTGCCAAGGGACGATTGTGCGAACTTTCCAAGATAGGTTGACTGTTTCATATCAGCAGCTGCAGGGCCCAGCAGCTGACAAGCCCTTAGAAAGCCCTGCGCTTCCGAGGGCGACGGAGGCTGGTGGAGAGCTGGGGGTCCAGCTGCCCGGCGCCTCTCCCTGGCGGCAGAACCCGGGTCGGCGAGCAGCCAGTCCCAATCTGCGTCCCCAAGGCCGGATATGTGCCTGGATTTTTTAAAAAGCTGTTTGTGCACTTCAAGGGCCTCACCCCTTTCATTTGGGGCTTCAGTGCAATTGTACTGGCCTAATTAATTCATTTTCTTTTCAGTCCAAAGTGGAAGCTAGGGCACAGGGATGCAAATCATATACAAACTCGCTCTGGGCGCCAATACCCTGGACAATTAAAACAAAGAGCGCGGCGGCGCGGCACCGCACAAAACCCTTGGGAAACATCGAGAACGTGGCAAGAACCAGCCGGCAGGGTGGGGCGCAGGCAGGGCAGAAAACGTACCGGCGGGGCGGCGGCCCCACCCCTGCAGGTGGACAGGTGGAGGTGGCCATGGGTCAAAATCCATCCTGGTGAACTGGCAGCTAGGTCACTGCGTAGCATAACTCCAGGGGGCACCATTCGCCTTGCGCCCTGCGGGAATGGCACCCCCGCGGGGGAGAAAAATACCACTAAACAAAAAACCCATTGCACGGGCAGGAACGGCAAAAGGGGTGGGTGAGAGAGACGGAAGATAGGGGGAGAAGGGGAGAAGGTTGGGGAGAAAAAGAACGGGGAGAAAAGGGAGAAAGTAGAAAAAAGAGGAGGGTGTAAAGGGAGAGGGGAGAGTGTAGAAGAGGGGAGAAGGAAAAAGGGAAACCAAGGGGAAGAGCGGGCCCCGCGGCGAGGCCGGGAGCAGAAGGGGGCGGAGGAGGGAAGGAAAGAAAGGGAAGGAGGCGCGCAGGAAGAGGAGCGGACCTGGCGGGGGGCGGCGGCCGGGGGGCGGGACCTGGTTCATCCCCACCTGCGTGGGCGCCTGCTGCCCAGAGGGGTGGCAGCCGGTAGTCGGAGGGAGCTGCCGGGAGGCGGGCTGGGCAGGGAGGCAGTGGGGGAGGGAGGGGACGGGGACCGAGGCAGGGA